GAAAATCAACCAATAGTCAATCCCATTAGCCTATGTACCCCTAAAGAAATACAGATAATAATAAATAAACTAGCTAGTAAAAAAAGCCCGGGACATGATCTAATAACAAACAAAATACTCAAAAATCTCTATCATACATAGCTAGCCTCATGAACTCCTCCATGAGACTAGGCTATTTTCCCGACACATGAAAAATTGCAATCATTATCCCTATACATAGACCAGGAAAACAAAATAGTTCACCCAAAAGTTACAGACCAAAAGTCTACTCCCAACTTTCTCAAAACTCCTTGAAAGAAATCTGCTGCACAGAATTAAACCGTTCCTAAAAATTATACCACTACATCAATTCGGTTTCAAACCATTTCATTCGACAACCCATCAGCTACAACAGATCTCTGAAATCATAGTAAACGGTTACGAAAATAAACAATTTACCACGTCGGCCTTTTTAGACATATCGCAGGCCTTCGATAAGGTTTGGCACCATGGGTTTATTTTAAAAATAAAATCCCTAAACCTACCTTTATACCTTAACAATACACTCTTGTCATTTATAGCAAATCGCAAATTTCATGTCAGAATAGGAAATGATATATCATAAATACATAATGTTAAGGCTGAAGTTCCACAGGGATCTGTGCTAGGACCATCTCTATTCAATATCTACTGTCACGATATACCAACACCGCAACACTGCCATCTAGCAATGTTCGCAGATGACACTGCAATAATAACGCAAAACCAAACTCTTGAATCTTCAATAAGAGACCAACAAGGCTCTCTAGATGAACTATCCCTTTGGTTCTCAAAATGGAAACTAACACTAAACCCAACCAAAAGCGAAGCAAAAATATTTACACTCAGAAAATACATAAATCTAACCCTACTTCAAATTAACAATAAAGAAATCAACTGGAATAACAAAGACGACACAGTAAAATATTTGGGCCTGCACCTTGACGACAAACTAAGCTGGAAAATACACATCAACAAAAAATTAAACCAAAAATACACTAGGCTACGAATACTGTACCCCCTATTAAATCATAGCTCTACCATACAAATGAAATGCTCTCTACTCCTTTATACAGCAATAATAAGACCTTTAGTAACCTATGCATGCCCAGTATGGGCATCTGCCTCCAAAACAAAAATTAAAAAATTACAAACCCTCCAAAACAAATTCCTAAGAATAGCCCTAAAGGCCCCTTGGTTCATGAGAAATAAACAATTGCACAACGATACAGGCATACCACACCTATCTACCTGGATAACACAACAATTTAAAAATTTTCACGAAAAACTCCACAGAGTTGACGGAGCCCGTCACTACAATATCGGCAAGAGATCCACAAATCTAAGACTCAAACCTCGGCTACCTCAGGACATCCTACTAGATCCCAATGAAGACACCTCAACCTCAGACTCTGACCCAGACTAACCTAACCAAATCTACTATACATCACATAATATAATAATAAAAACATTGTAAAAATACTTAGTGTATTGACACAATTATATTAATAAATAAAAAAAAAAAAGACATGCAGTATTGGAAAAAATGTCCAACTTAACTTAGTTAATTATAATTATGTATTATTATTGT